GCAAGCGCAGTACAGCTTCCAACTCAGATCTGAAAAAAAATAGTGGGTGGTCGTTTTCTGACTGGTCGGCAGACCGCCGACCGGTCGGCCCTACTGGTCGGCTGCAATACGGTCGGGGGTCGGCAGGGATGCAACCATGTTAGCAAACCAAATGTTGTTAATTCTGATCAACCTCTTTGTGTGCAGGTGTGTCGATTGCTGCCAGGTGGCATTCAGGTGCTTGGTGTATATGTATTTGGAACAGAGCCAGTTTTTAAATCGTTAGCGGCGGCACTCAACTCGGTAAGCACAATGTTATTCGCTGCAAGGGACATTGTGAAGGATTCCCGCCCTCCCCCCTCCCCCCTCCCAATTGAGGGCTATCTTCCTCTCCTCTATCTGCTGTCCTCAGTTGGGGTGGCAGATGATCCCTTCGTTTTGACTTTTTCTCTTTTTCTTCTTCTTTTTTCCATTCCTGTTGAGAGCTATCGTCCCTTTCTTTTTCTCTTTTTCTTTTTCTTTTTCTTTTTCTTTTTCTTTTTCTTTTTCTTTTTCTTTTTTCCCTTCCTCTATCTGTCTCCTCTACCTGTGTACATGGTGCATGCAGATGGCTGCCCAGTTGACTTGGATCAGTACTGCAGCACTCCTGTGCAGTGCACTGGGCAGCCATGTGTGTGCACCATGCACACAGATGCAATGCGCTGAGTGCAGTGCGGTGCGCGACCGCTCTGTGGGCGCTGTCTCCTTCTTTAGCATTTTCTGTATCCTTGTTTGGTGATGTTCTCGGAGGCAAAAAAAAACAGAAAAGAAACAGAACTTTCTGCCATTTGAGTGCTTTCTCGCCTGCCTGTGCTGGAGTACGACAGCTGGCAACGTTTGCCAGATGGAGGGTTAAAAGACTGAAAAACTTAATAAAAGTTAAAATCCTTTGAGAAGACAGACTCGGAACATTTTCTTATGTAGGGTGCGGTTTCCTCAGGCTGTGGCTTTGGCAAGTGGTGGAATCTCGCCGTTGATGGTCGTTGACGATTGGTTAACGTGTTGAGTATTGATATGGCAACATAGGGGCTGCAGGGTCCTGTGTGCTTTGGGAAGCATTTCCTTCTGGTGTTGCATGATGGGTCTACAGCGTTGAGGGCCCGTTTTGGGTAATGAACAGGCAAGTGGTGAAATCATGTTACCTGCTGATCGTTAGTAGTAGGTTTAAGAGCCAGCAACTGTTGAGGCGTTGCTGTCTATCTTTGTGGCGCGCTATTCTCTCCCACCAGGCTTTGGCCGAATGCTGCAGAATCTCTTGGGCAGGATCTCTTCATCCATGGATGAATCAGGGCTGTCATGGCAGCTGAATCTGCTGTCCATCTAGTGACGGGTGTCGTGGCCTGCCCATGGCTATGATCAGTGCCACGTGGCAGTGCTGCCGGGTTTGTTCTTGTAAGCAGGCTCTGAAGTTCTCATTGCGTGGGTGTGTGATTCCCTCAGCCCTTTTGTGTGTGTGTGTGTGTGTGTGTGTGTGTGTGTGTGTGTGTGTGTGTGTGTGTGTGTGTGTGTGTGTGTGTGTGTGTGTGTCTTGTTAAGGCACCCCAAATTCTCTCTCTCATTTCCTCCACAAATCAGACAAAACATCCATTCATAACAAGAAGGTATAGATAGCTAATATAATAGAAAATGCAAGGTTGGCCACGTTTGCGTGGTTCAGCGCCAAATGGCCACACACCCGTCTGCCACCGACTTGTGTGTGTGTGTGTGTGTGTGTGTGTGTGTGTGTGTGTGAGAGAGAGAGAGAGAGAGAGAGAGAGAGAGAGAGAGAGAGAGAGAGAGAGAG